AGATGGAGAAACTGAGGCCCGGAGAGCCTTAGCATCTCCCAGCAAGACAGTGACAAGCGGGATGCTATTCTATGTGTTTGGACTCCCACTCCAGTGCTCATTCCACTGTTTCATGCTATTGTCGGGGGCACTTTGCAAGGAGATGGCTTTATCTACTGCCGAAGAACTATCTGGATCAAACTCGAGCCCATCACAGAGAAAGGGGTAGTCTGACCTGAGCCCATGGCCCAAACCGAGCGCCCTGTGTGCCTCTCTGGAAACCTCCACCTCCTTCGACTTCCCTGCCCAGCCCCGTGACTGCACCTGGGCTTTCTCTCCCAGCCTAGATCGAGACTGCCCCAGGACGGGCCTGCACCCGCCAGGCCTTGCATACTGTGGGCCATTTGGACAGGTGTGAGGGTCTGAATTTCACATTTTAACACCATGTATTTATTTTCATGTGAATTAGAAAAAATACAATGAATACATCAAACTCATGATTTCACAGAAATATTGCTCTAGACGAGGCCAGGTGAAAAGAAAGTGCTCTGTTTAAAGGGATTTAAATAACGACCCATAGAGGATTAAGACAGAACATGGATGTAGCTTACATCACCTAATAACCAAAGTCGAGGTTGTCTTGGAACTTGGGGGCTCGGAGGAAGCCAGGCAGGTGAGGGCAGGGCCAGCAGAGACCCGGAGCTGGGTGGGCCAGTCCCTGGCTGCCGACCAGCACGGCCCCTCACATGAGCAGGCAGGCAGTGCCCCGGGTCATGCCCTCCTGTCCCCAGCCCTGCCCTCGGCCAGAATCAGCCCACGAGAGAGGAGTCATTTCCCTCCCGGAGGCAGTTTCATGGGGACTCTGTTACAGGGAGGCCAGGAAGTCAGACTCTACCCCATCTCGTACCAGGTGACCAGGTGCTGGCGAGTCACTTCTCGGGACCCCCTGGCGGGCCTGCCTCCCCTGGCATTGGTAGGTGAGATCCCAACTGGCCGTCTGCTCTTTCCTCCTGGCCAGTCTGAAAACGGCTCATTCTCAAATGAAAGGGAGAAAGGCTTTGACAAGGCCAAGTGTTGTCTGGTGGCCAGAGAGTTTAGGGTTTAGGGTCAGCTCAGCCCAGCGGAAACCCAGAGACTCTGGAATCAGAGGGCCAGGGCTCCAGTCTGGCTGCTGCTTCCTGCTTCCTGCAGCCTCAGTCTCCTCCTCCGGAGAATGGGGGATGGTTGTGCCAAAAGGCTTCCGAGAGCCACGTGCAAAGCGCCCCCCAGAGAAGGACTCGGTGTGGCCAGAGACAAGCCCCTGTTCCAGGGGCGGCCCCCCTCGGCCGCCCACCCGCCGCCATGGTGTCTGTGTGAGGTGACCCCATGCCGCCAGAGATCTCCCCTCAGCCCTTTTATCACCCTGCACACAATCGGGGGAAGCCTGGAGTGGGCAGATGGAAAACAAAGAGAGAAAACAAAGGCACTGTTCCGAGGAGGCCAAAAGGCACCTGCCTCCTCCCCCTGCTGCCTGACAAGCCTGTCCCTCCCGTCCCACCAGCGCCAGGCCTTGGCCACCCCCAGGCTGCAGGCGACCTGCCCCGACCCTCCGGAAGAGTAGCCTCTAACCTCACATGGGGTCACCACTCACTGGGAAGTCACTTCTCTCCAAGCCACCTTTTCTAACCTCTAAAATGCCGGCGCTGGACAACAAACATGCTGTGTGACCTTCACAAGCCTCCCCTCCCCCTGCCCCGTTGGGGTTTCCTTGGGACAGGCCCAACCCCCAACCCATCTTTAGGACTCCCCCCCCCAGCCAGTCCTGGAAGGTCGAGGTGGTGCCCACTTGTGCCCATGGAGGGGACCCCGGCATGCTCTGGGCAGGGCAAGGCAAACGGGAGGCTCCTGTGTACTGCCGAGGTCTCAGCGCTCGGTGCTTAAAGCCTGTGTGGGGCGAATGAATGATTTCAGCACGGGCGGCTTGCTCAGCCTCAGCCCTCGGCTGCTGCTGCCTTCGGAGCCTCTCAGGGAAGGAAAGCTCTCCTGGCCCCTCCAGGACGGTATCGGGGAGGAGTAGTGAGGGCTGGCAGCAGCATCAGTGCCAGGCTGTTTGGGTTCACATCCTGGCTGTGTGTCCTCAGGGTGGTTTCTTAACCTCTCTGTTTCCTCATCTGTTAAAAATGGGTACAACACGTACCTCATAGATTGTGGTGAGATTAAGTGAATTAATGCACATCAAGTTCTTCAAACAGTACAGCTCAAGGTTCTTTAATGTTACGTATTATTATTATCAGTGTCATCATTATTTTATTTATTTGTTTATTTATTTATTTATTTTTGAGACAGAGTCTCACTCTGTTGCCTGGGCTAGAGTGCCGTGGCATCAGCCTAGCTCACAGCAACCTCAAACTCCTGGGCTCAAGCGATCCTCCAGCCTCAGCCTCCCTAGTAGCTGGGACTACAGGCATGCGCCACCATGCCCGGATAATGTTTTCTATATATTTTTAGTTGTCCAATTGATTTCTTTCTATTTATAGTAGAGACGGTGGGTCTCGCTCTTGCTCAGGCTGGTTTCGAACTCCTGACCTCGAGCAATCCGCCCACCTCGGCCTCTGAGAGTGCCAGGATTACAGGCATGAGCCACCGCGCCAGGCCCAGTGTCATCTTTATTATGATTAGAGGGGGACTGACCGGGCAGCGCATGAAGCTTAAGCTTCCCTGCCCGGCCCTGCTGCCCTGTCACTGTGGGCCGTCTCCTGCCCCGTGTGTCCTGTCTCTGTGGGCCTTCTCCTACCCCGTGGGCCCTGTCACTGTGGGCTGTCTCCTGCCCCGTGGGCCCTGGGCAGGGGTGCCGGTGGGCCAGGGGAAGCAGCCTGCCAAGCTGGAGCAGTTGCCCCTGCAGTCCCCCCTCCCTCCCCCCCGGGACTGGCCGTGCGCCAAGCCCCGGGTTAGTGCCGGGTGCTGGTTCAGGATGGTCCCTGCCTTCTGGGAGCTCTCGGGGTAGCTGGAACCACAAGATTCGCACCTGGAAGGGCAAGGCGTGTGCAGGGGAAGGCGGTATGAGACCTCGTCATGCCAGGCATTTCAGAGAGGAGTCAAGAGAGCCCAGAGGTCACGAGGCCTGGACAGTTGAGCCTCTGAGAGGACGGGCCCTTGACGGCAGAGGCCCCCAGGGTGGGCGCCGAGGGCCCTGGCGCCTCCGCCAACAGCAGGGCCTCGCGGCTGGGCTTCGGCAGGGACATTTATAACTCACAGCTGTGCGGTCCCGGGCCCAACTGACTGTGGTAAACCGATCTGGCTTCAGGAAGTCCCTCCCGAGGCCACTCCCCACCCCGACCCCCACACTCTCCTTCACCTCCTGACACCCACATCCTGTTCTCAGCAGGAGGGGCCGGCAGCTGGGCACTGGGCCAGGGGCCCGGCCAGGGTCTCCAACCTGTGGGCAGGGCGGGAGAGGACAGAGTGTCAGGGAGGCCCCAGAGCTTCGAGGCCTCTGGGTCACCAGGGCCTGCCCCTCAAGGCACATCCAAGGGACCGAGGCCCAGAGAGGGCGTGCGGCCACCCCAGGAGCCCTCAGGGCCCGAGGGCAGGATGTGCACGCTGCAGGGCTCAGGGGCATGTCCTGCGCTTCCAGGTCTGCCTAGAGACGGGATTGGGCTCCAGCCCCGTGGACCACAACGGCGAGGGCAGCCTGGGAGAGGGGTGGGCGGAGGTGAACCTCAGAGGATGCCGGGAAAGGACATCATCCTGCACCCTGGGCCTCGGCACAGCCTACAGCCCTCCTTTGGGGCACTCCGTCCTCGGGAGGCCCCGTGCCCGTCCGCCCGGGTCTTCTCGGCAGAGGTCAGGTGTGGGACTAGGGACGGTCTGGCCCAGTGCTGGGGCGAGGGGACGGTGGCAGGAGCTCCCGGCACACCGGGCCTCTGAGCCCAGCCTCCCTTGGCCTGCCGTGCTCACCGACCCTGGGGCCCCACCGGCCACCCAACCCCTGTCGTGCCTCTCCTCCCCCTGCAAAGTGTGAGGGGCGACGCACAGCAGGGACTTGCCAAAGCTCGGCCCACGTAACGCTGGTAGCCCGTGACGGGATTCTAGCATTAGGTGGTACCCACGGGAACATGTATTTTTATTTTATTGGTTATGACTTGTTAAGGTGTATGAGAAATATATAACTAGCCTATCAAACCAATTATTTCATGGACATGATTGCTTTGGACAAGGCCAGATTTATTGGAGCTTAAAAAAAAGAGTGAGTTCAAGGTAGATATTAATGAAATCATCACACAGGTAGGTCTCGGCTCAGAACCAAGCGTCGTGGGGGGCATGGGGAAAAGAGCTGGGTTTGGGGGACGTGACATAGACCATCGGCCGGGCTCTTTTCTGTGTTCTACTCTGCCTGGGCTTCCTCCACCAGCTTTAAGCAAAACAGCCAGCCCCAGGCCTGGCAGGAGGGGCGCGGGGGTGAGCCGGTTTCCCCGAGGAGGTGCATACGCCTGACACGGCTCCCTGGGTTGGTCGGAGACCTGGGGAGCAGCTCATGATGAGGAAAGAATCCAGGCAGAGGTCATAGAGTGGCTTTGGAAGTGTCTGCCGGCCGGCCGTGTGAGATAATTCCCCGAAGCCAGGCATGGCGGGGAGAGGGGAGGAGAGGGTGGCAAGGGCTTTGTATGCTCAGCTAAAAATACCCCCGGCAGCTTCTCCCCGGTCACCCTGCCCGGGGGCCACACAGGAAGGTGATGGCTTTCTGCTTTTCTTACCAAGAAGAGAAAGACAACAACACAAAGTCCCCAAGCCCCCAGAGAAACAAAACTTACATGTATATTTAAAAATCCCACCCAGAGGCATCGGCTTGCTTGTTGGAGCGGGGCTGGGCTGGGCAGGGAAGACACGGCCCACTCTGATAATTCAGGCGCCCCGGGGCGTGCCTGAGTGGCCCAAGAGGCCGCTGAGATTAGCCCCGGCTGCGGCGGGGACAGAGGTAGGGGAGAGTGGACGGCTGTCTCCCTGGCTGCCCACACGTGTCCCGTCTCTCTCTGTGTGCCCAGGAGGAAGAGGAGGAGGCCCGTTGGCGTCAGACCAATGCTGCAAGGGGTGTGAGGACAGGAGCCGTCTCCCGTCACCGAGCTGCCAGACCCAAAAAGGTAACGCTAGACCCGTGATGCCCGGGGCCACACCACCACCTTCGCCTAAAACCTGGGCAGGCAAGGTCAGGCCACCGGGAAGTGATGGGGCCAGACCAGCCCTTCTCCTCGCCCTGCTTCGCCCTGCCTGCAGGGCTTCTCTGCCCCGAACGCCACAAACTGCTTCTGGGCTTGAGTTCGTCTCTAAAATGGGTGCTGGGCTCGGGTCTGCCACTTGGTGCAATTCTGGAGGATTCTGTGAAGCAGTGCGTGTGATTGTTATCTGGAGTTAAGCCATCTTGGCAGCCTGGCTCAGTTGGAGCTCTGGGCTGTAGCCAGGGGTCCCAGCCCCTGGGGGGTGGGGGGGTGGGTCGCAGTATAAGGCTACAAGGTCAGCAGGGCCAGATGGGGCTTGAGAGGAGAGGGTTTTCTAAGGCAGACCTAGCCAGAGATGTTTCATTAGAAATGGGGCTGTTGGCTCCTTTGTGGCAGCATTTGAAACTCCACATTGATCTTCCTGGCAGCTTTGGGCAGGAATTATTGTCTGCATTTTCGGACCATGAGACCAAGGCACAGGGAAGTTAACGGGCCTGCCAGGGACCACACAGCAAGCTCTGGCCACACCAGAGCAGCCTGGCGTTATCCTATTTGCATACCAGCTTCTACACTTAAGCTGCACTGCACTGGTCTGACCCATCCTCCCCAGAAAAGTCCTGCTATTAAACCCAAGTCTGTATTGTGTGTCTGTGGTGGGACCCATCCACCCACTCATGCATCATCCATCCGCTCACCTACCCATCCGTCCATCCAGCCATCCTTCTATCTATTCATCCATCTGCTCACCCACCCAGCCATCCACCTACCCATTCCTCTGACCACCCAGTTACTCATTCATTCACTTATCAAACACTCACTGAATCTCCGCACAGGGCCAGACCTGCACTGAGCGCTGGGTTTTCCAGACGGAGCAGATCTAGCTCAGCCCCAAGCGGGCGGTGTATGCAACGGAGGCAGGCTCAGGATCCCGCAGCCAGACTGAGCCCCATTAGGGTGGCGCAAAGCTCGTGCGGGAGGCGAGGAGGGGCCGAGCACTGGTTCCGCAGGCAGACACTCGGGGGAGAGGAAGCGGCATTGTTCTTTTACTCATTCCCCAGATGTTTACTGAGAAAGTCCCCCGTGTCAGGGGCTCTTGAAGTGTTGGAGTTACAGCAGGGGACAAAACAGACGAACCCCCCTGCCCTCATGGTGCTGACACTCTCATGGGAAGACACGGACAGTAAATACCTAAAAAGCGAACGTATGGTATGTCAGGTGGTACTAGGCTTTAAGAAGAGAAATTAAGCCGGGTAAGGGCTCGGAGCCTACAGGGTAGGGCCGGGTCTTCTTTGACACAGGGAGGTCAAGGAAGGCCTCTGATAAGTGGCATTTGAACAGAGACTGAATGAGACCAGGGATCGAGCAGGGGTGCGCTCGGCCTGTTCGGGGAGATGGCAGGGAAGGCTGTGTAGCCGGAGGGAAGTGAGGCCATCGGAGAGATGGTGGGGATCCGCCCGTGTAGGTGGGCAAGTGTGGGCAGAGAGGTCACTGGGATACTGCCGCTCACATCCAAGCAGAGGTGGTGGGGCTTGGACTAGCGGGTAGCAGGGGGAGGTGAGAAGCCACTGGGGGCCGAATATATTGCAGAGACCAGCAGGCAGGCTTGCCGGGGGATTAGAGGTGGAGGATTAAAAAAGATGGGGGACCATCAAGGTGGTAGGATGGAGGTGGGCATTTACTCAGCCAGTGATGACAGCCCAGGAGGGCCGCACGGGGCCGAGGAGTTCTGTTTTAGACACGTTAAGTTCGAGATGCCTTCAAGACATCCAAGTGGAAAGACTGAGTGGGCAGCTGTATGTGTGAGTCTGAGAGGCAGAGCGAGGTCCCGGACCGGAGAGATAAATTTGGGAGCTGTCGTGTCTAGATGGTGTTGGAGCCACGAGGCAGGTGAGATCACCTCGGGAGTGCTGGCAGTTCAGAGGGGCGGGAGTCTGAGTCACCCGGCATCTGGCCCTCAGGGGGAGGGAGTCCCCAAAGAAGGGGGTGGGAGGTGCTGCCGGGAGGCAGGAGAACAGAGAGAGCAGGCTCCGAATGGACGAGGAAGATCCCTGGGCAAAGCAGGGAGAGGGAACAGCACACACAAAGGCTCAGAGGCCTCCGTAAATAAGCCACAATAGGAGAAGGTGGTAGAGCAGAGGAGGGACCAGACCGTCTTCGTGCGCACATGTAGCCATGCAAGGCAAGGGCCCGTGGGTGTCTGGTTGGACTGTGGGTGATCCAGTGTCTGGGCCCTCCCTCTGCCCCTGGCCTGCACTCGCTGACCCCAGTGGAGCCTGTTGCCCTGCAGTCTGCCCACTTTTGCACTCCTGAGACGCTTCGCCTAGCTCTGCTGGCCGCCGGACCTCTCCGTTGCCTGCAGCGCTCATCTGAAAACAGGGCTCCGGTGGCAGCTCCTGTGCTGCCCACAGCAGGGAGGGCACCGACAGCCCCCTGTTGCATTCCTGAGCATGCGTGCTTCCTTATCCTAAAGCAACTCAGTCTTCCGAGGCCCTGAGTGAGTGTCACAGCCGCCCACTTGCCAGTTAGAGGAGCTATGCCTTGGGCGGGAATTGTGCACGTGTGTGCCTGTGATGCTTTATGCTTGATGCCTTCTCTCGTTTTCTGTCTGTGTGTCTCTGTCTGTCTATCTCTCAGCCTCTACTGCAAACATCAGCAGTGTCCCTCTGGGCCAGGGCTCAGGCTAGGCGGGACCTGAGAATCAGGTGTGGTCCCTGCCTTCATGGAGCTCCCAGCTGTTCCCTTTGCCCAGCTCCTGGACACGCCCTTTCAGTGCTGGGGGGAGGTGGCCAAGCCTGGGTTAGGATTCCAGCTCTGCCACCCTCCAGCAGTATGACTTTGGGACCTGCATCTGCCCTGTGCTGTAATTCACGGGATAGGGCACCCCAGAGACTCTGGAAAAATACCCAGGAGCTTCTGAGCTGTCCCTCTGCTCTGGCTGAGGTTTGGCCCTGTGCCTACTCACCCCTCCCTCCAGGTGAGAGGTCCTGGGCCCTCTCCCCCGCTCCAGTGCCACCCTCTCCAGGAAGTCTCCCCAACCACTCTGAGATCGGCCAGCTTCTGCCAAGCACCTGTGCTGTGCTGAGCGCAGGGCTCAGGGCAGGGTGTACAGAGATGAAAACAGAGGGCTCCCACTGTGAGAGCTGGCAGTCCAGAGCGGGTGGGGAGGAGGACAGGTAAAGAACCAGCAACTCCCAGTGCAACGGCGAGCACGGCAGGTGTCCAGCAGAGAGAATGGCCACGCTCAGCCAGGGGAGGCTGCACAGAGCAGCAGCTGCCCTGCCTGCCGAGCCACGGGCCAGGCAGGTGCGCCCCAGGGACACGATGGGGGTGGGGAGGAGAGAGGGACCCGGCCAAAGGAGCCGCCGGAGCAAAGTCCAGCCCGTCTGCCGAGCGAGTGCAGTCTGGTGTAACTGGGACAGGAAAGAAGGCTGCGGAGACTTCTCCACGCAGAAAGTTGGATGGAGCCAGGCAGGGACTTGCCGGCCCCCTCTCCCTCGGCAGGGGTTCTGGGGAGATGGCCCTCTGACTCTGCATCGGGGACCAGGGGACAGGAGCTGCTCCGGCGTGTGTGGCTCCGTGGAAGGTCGGTGGCAGGAGGCCGTGGGTGATCTCATGAGTGTGCCCGGCGAGGGGACGGTAATCCTGTGCCTTTAGACTCACTTTTCTTTAAGCCTGTCTCCACCCATTGGCTCCCTAAATCCTTGTACTGCCTTGGTGATGTCGGGCCGGGCTGCACTTAGCTCCTCTGAACAGATGGGTGACCCAGGGCGAGGGAGGAAACTGCTTGCGTGATGCCACAGCGAACAAGTTGGCACGGAGGGGCTTTGAACCGGGCACGTCCCACCTCTACGAGCTCCTGGGCTCTTAGAATATCCAAGCCTGTAGACTGTCTCTGGCCTCCTCACTGGAGGGCCCAGAGAAGGTAAGACACTTGCCCACGGCCACACAGCAAGTCAAGGACATAAGTGGCACCAGAATCTCATCTGGCCTGTTTGTGTCTCCCGCCCTCCCCTCCTCGAGCGGGCGCAGATGGAGCAGGCGCAGGGCTCGCGCCCTTGGCCCTGCCCACTTCCGCTTGGAGCACCCACTGTGCTTGATTTTCCCGCAGCCTTTGGCACCCGATCCGTGGAAGGCACCAAGTTCCTCATCAGAAGGCTCCATTGTGCCTATTGTTTAAATATAGATTACTAATGAAATGCCTTTTCATTGCCTTCCCAGTGAATAGTTTCCGTGTAAAGTTAATTTGCAGTGTTATGTAAATTCTGTTTAACTTCAATCAAGTTTCTAATTATGTTTTTACCGCAGTAATTCCCATTTGATTTGTCATCTCCTGTTAGGTATTTAATGTTCGGTGGGTGGGTTTGCTCTCTCGGCCCCTCCCTCCCTGACCTCCCCTCCACCCCGTCCTCCTGCCCTGTCCTTCCCTGCCCTGTCCTTCCGGGGGCTCCTAGCCTCTGTGTTCCTCCCGCTTCTCTGTGGCTCACTCCCCACCTCTCCCTTCCTTCTGCTCCTGTTTCCCCTTTTTTTTCTGTCGCCCATCCCCCCTCCTCCCTGCCCTCGCCCCCCTCCCAGGCCTCCCCATCCTGCCTCTGCTCTTCCACTCTTGCTGGGTGTTGTCTGCTGCCCTCCCTCCCTCCCTCTCTCCTTCTCTGCCTCCCAGGCTCTCCCTTCTCCCACCTTCCCCCACCCACCCCAGAGCCCTTCACTGCATGGCTGCCTCCTCGCTGCCTGGGGTGCACAAGCCCATGAGGTGGGGCTCGCTGGGGCCACCTGGGCGCCCTGTGGTCCCTGGGAGGGTGGGGTGGGGTTGGTGAAGAACACGGATTCTAGAGTTGGAGTCCCTAGGTTCAGGTCCTCATTCCCCCTGCTAACTGTGACCTGCAGGTGTGTTAGCGTTTATTTCTGTCCTTGGATTCCCTCATCTG